GAAGACCCAGACAAAGGCACAGACTTGTTCATGGACTGGAAGACTCAATATTGTTAAGATAGCAGTTCTTACCAAATTGTCCTGTAGAGTCAACGCAATCCCTATCAAATTCCCGTTGGGTTTTTTTTTGTTTTTTTTTTTGAGAAATTAACAGCTGATTTTAAAGTTTATATGGAAAATCCCTGGACCTAGGATAGCCAAAACAATTTTGAGAAAGAATGAAGTTGGAGAGTTACACTACCTAATTTCAAAACTACAATAAAGCTGTGGTCATCGTGAGATTGTGATATTGAATAAGGATGTGGACTAAATGGAGCAGAACTGAGAGTCCAGAAATAAACCCTTGTATCTATAGTGAATCAATTTGCACCACTGGTGGCAAGACCGTTCAGTGGAGGAAATCACAGTCTTTTCAACAAGTGGTGCCGGGACAAAGATGAAACTGACTCTTCCTTCACACCTTATGCAAAAATTAACTCAAAAACAGACTGTAGGCCCAATGCCACAGCTGAAACTGTAAAACAAGGAGACACAAGAGACAATCTTTACAGCCTTAGGTTAGGGAAAAGTGTTCTTAGAGACCAAAAGCAAGAGCCACGAAAGAAGCAGCTGACGATCTGGACTTCATTAAAATAAAAATTTTCCCTTCAAAAGACACTCTTAAGAAAATGAAAGACAGTTACTGCTTACGGAGTACAGGTAGTTCCTAGTTTACGACAGGGTTCTGTTCCAACGACACCATTGTAAGTCAGTTGCGACATAAGTAGAATACCTTTTTTTTTTATTTAATTTTCATAGCCTGCTATACAGCAGCATTTTGAACAGTAAATCATAACATTAAACATCTGTGAGTGAACATCTAAGCATGATAACAGCAAATTACACACTGTAGCATTGTATGTAGTACGTATTACTAAAGATAAGATGTATCCAAAAAAAAGTCAGTGTGGTAACTCAAATATGTTGGAGACTAACTGCACTGAGTTTCGGTTTATGTTGATAGAAAAATCTCATCGATTAAGAGTAGGGTTGCACAATAGATTAATTGTGTCAATAAGTTGTACACTTGTAAAAAAGTGAATTGGTGAAAGTGTGGTAGATATATTTACAATGACAAAAAAAAAAAAGTAGCTGCTGAGGCTGCTTATATACAATCAAACACCTCATGGGATGGAGGTTTAGGGTCATGGTTTCATGGAACATCCTAGTTACTTGGCTTAATAATGTATTTAGTGCTTCTGTTCTACCTCCTAGTTTGATGCCTGGGGTCTTAAAAGCTTACAAGCATCCAAGGAACAAGTGGTCTCTACTCCCCTAGAGCAACAGAGGAAGACAAGGAGTCAGGAGTAGGAGGAGGAAATGGAACGTGTGGCCTCCATGAACAACTGCCTCCTTTGCCATGAGACCAGAAGAACTGAATGATGTCCGACTACCATTATTGAATATTTTAATCAAAGATTCTATAGAAGAATTCTGGTCAAAAGGAGGAAAATGCAGAAGAATTTCAAATTTCCATGGAATCTAATCTTTTCTGGAGCCATGGAGGCTGCATGAACCCCGAAACTATTGCCCTGAGACCATCTTTAAACAAACCAGAAATACCCATCTTAGTAATCAGGTGCTGCTCTAACAGAAATACCACAAGTGGATGGCTTTGACAAAGAGAAATTTTTTCTCACAGTCTAGTAGGCTAGAAGTCCAAATTCAAGGCGTCAGCTCCAGGGGAAGGCTTTCTCTGTCAGCTCTGGAGGAAGGTCCTTCTCATCAATCTTCCCCTAGACTAGGAGCTTCTCTGTGCAGGAACTCCAGGTCCAAAGGACGCGCTCTGCTCCTGGTGCTTCTTTCTTGGTGGCATGAGGTCACCAACTCTCTGCTTGCTTTTCTTTTATCTCATGTAAGATAAAAGGTGGTGCAGGCCACACCCCAGGGACACTCCCTTTACATTGGATCAGGGATGTGACCTGAGCAAGGGTGTTACAGCTCCCTCTAATCCTCTTTAACCATAGGCAGAGAGTATGATTTATAACACATAAGAAAATCACAAAATGGAGAAAAACCATACAATACCGGGAATCATGGCCTAATCAAGTTGACACATATTTTTTGGGGAAACAGTTCAATCCATGACAATCCCCTAAAGTCTTCTTAAAACCAAATAATAGTTTAGCTTAACTAGTAAAGAACGTCTGCCTTGAGCACTGTGCTCTTTTAAGATTAATCTATATGGGATCAAACTGACAGCAACTGAAAAGATTAGACAGGAAACTCGGGGCAGTGAGTTTATGTTAATGGAGGAGAAACAGCTCAGAAAAGGGTGAGAATCGTTGCACAACTTGAATGTAATCAATGTCACGGAACTGTACATGTAGAAACTGTTGCGTTGTATGTTCTGGTGTGTATATGCTTAACAACAAAAAATTATTTTAAAAAAAACGAAAGACAAGCTATGGAAAATATTTTCAATCATATATTTGATGAAGGACTTGTATCCAGAATGTAAAGGAGTTGTCATGGATTGAATTCTGTCCCCCCAAAATATGTTTCAATTTAATTAGCCCATGATTCCCAGTATTGTGTGGTTGCCCTCCATTTTGTGATCTGATGTAATTATCCTATGTGTTGTAAATCCTAACCTCTACAATGTTCTTGAGGCAGGATTAGAGGAAGTTATGTTAATGAGGCAGGACACAATCTACAGGAACAGGCTGTATCTTGAGTCAATCTCTTTTGAGATATAAAAGAGAGAAGGGAGTGGAGAGGAGAGGGACCTCATTACCACCAAGCAAGAAGAGCCAGGAACGGAGTCCATCCTTTGGACCTGGGGTCCCTGTGGTGAGAAGCTCCTAGACCAGGGAAAGATTGATGACAAGGACCTTCCCCCAGAACCAACAAAGAAGAGAAAGCCTTCCCCTGGAGCTGGTGCCCTGAATTCAAACTTCTAGCCTACTAGACTGTGAGAGAATAAACTTCTGTTTGTTAAAGCCATCCACTTGTGGTATTTCTTTAACGGCAGCATTAAATAACCAAGATAGGAGCCCTGATGGTGCAACCCTTAAGCACTCGGCTGCTAACTGAAAGGCTGGGAGTTCCAACCCACCCATCGGCTCTGTGGGAGAAAAGACCTGGTGATCTGCTCCTGTAAAGATTATAACCAAAAAAAAAACCCTATGGGGCAGTTCTATTCTGTCATATGAGATCGATATAGGTAGAAACCACCTCCACGGCACCTAACAACAACCACATCCAGAATAGACGCTGTTCCAGCCTTGCACACCAACAGGTGAAAGAGAAGCAGGGCCCGGGGCTGGGATACGATGCATGAGTCAGGGCCTGTGGCGTAGGCCAGGCTGAGCATCTGTACCAGGAACCTCCTCCACCTCACAGTCACGGAATTCCTCAGTGACAGGGAATGCGTCTGAAGTAATCCCCCAGCGAAGAAGACTGTGCTGGGCCTGAAGAATCCTGTGACTCCGAGCCGGCCCTGACGGAGCTGGAGGGAGAGACCAGCCGAGGAAAAGTCTCCAGGCCTCTGTCCAGCTGCAGGCCTCTGCAAGGTGTGGACAGTCAGCAAAGTTCAGGCCCTTGGCTAAGGGTGGGCCGTTTCCAGAAGGTACTGCTGTCCACGACCGGGTTCATCAGCATGAGCAGGGCAGCAGACGCGGGCAGGGCAGCGGTGACACTGTGGCCCACAGGCGGGGACCTGGAGGGACGCCTCCCCAGCGTTCCTCAGAACCTAATCCAATGCTGAGCGCTCACTTAAGCTCCTAGGAAGCGTCGGGACAAGGGACATTGCCCGGTGGCAGCAAGAGGAGCAATGCGATCCAGAGAGTCTGAGTTGGAGCAGGAAAGGCCGGTCCAGGTGATCCGCCCGGAGAGGCTCTTGGGGTGGAGGCGAGGTTGGGCGGCGTACAGAGGGCGTGTGGGTTCAGTGGGGTGGTATCAGCACATGCACGCCTCAAGAAAGAACACCCTATTTTAAAGATGCGTGTTAACTACTTCAAGGGAGATATCATGATCTGTAATTTAAAATGCTTCCGGGTTGAAAGAAAGCTGCGTCAAAACGTTCAATCAATACATCAGTATAATCAATGGACCAGACTGTTCGATCAAGGCGGTGCAGGTGAGCTCGGTTACGCCGTCTCTGCGCCGTGTCTGATATATTTCGTTACAGACAGTCACGGAGGGAGCGGCGGCGGACGGGCCATGCCCCGAGGTGCTCTAGCAACCAGGAGGGTCGCTGCACGGAAATACTAGCAGCGAAGAAAACACAAAGCTGCCTCCGCTCTCCCGCCCCAGTCTCTCCGCCCGCCCACGCGGGACCGCCCCTCGAGGCGCCGGCCCAAGATGGCCGCGGCGCGCTCCTGGCCGCCACGC